GGCACATGAAGCGGGAATGCCGAAAGCTCAAGAACAAGAGAAAAGGCGTGACAAAAGTGTGGATAAGAAGCAAGAAGACACAACGGCAGTTACTACCGACGATCTCATGATCGTTTGTGAAGATGATTGTATCAATTTGTGGGCCAAGAGAGCAATGGTGATTGATTCCGGTGTTTCTTCATGTGACTTCTCGAGTTGATTTCTTCACTACCTACACCAAAGGAGATTATGGTTCTGTTCGAATGGGTAATGAAGATTTGTCCAAGATTATTGGCATGGGTGATGTTTGCTTGGAAATAAATTTGGGCTGCAAGTTGTTGCTAAAAAATGTAAGGCATGTTCCCGACATTCGCCTCAATTTGATCTCTACTGGAAAGCTAGATGATGAAGGCTTCAACAACAAATTTGGTGATGGAATATGGAAGCTCACAAAGGGTTCTTTGGTGGTGGCTAAGTGCAAGAAGACTCATACACTTTATTCGATGAAAGAAAAAATTTGTAAAGGTATTGTCAATGCATTTCAAGATGATACTTCTACCGAATTATGGCACAAGCGGCTTGGCCATATGAGTGAAAAAGGGATGCAAGTTTTGTTCAAGAAAGAGCTTCTACCTGGTTTGAAAGGTACACATCTTAAAACTTGTGTTCATTGTTTGGTGGGTAAACAACATAGAGTTTCTTTTCAGAAAAATGTTACTTCTAAAAAAGAAAATATTTTGGAGTTGATTCATTCGGATGTTTATGGTCCTTTAAAATTTAGAACACATGGCGGTGCACTTTTATTTTGTTACTTTCATTGATGATTATTCAAGAAAAGTTTGAGCTTTTTTACTAAAAACTAAAGATCAAGTTCTAGAAGTATTTAAGCATTATCAAGCCATGGTTGAAAGAGAAACATGGTAGAAATTGAAGTGCATCCGATCTGACAATGGTGGTGAATACATTGGGTCATTTGATGAGTATTGTCGTAACCAAGGTATTCGGCACCAAAAGACAGTTAAGAAGACTCCTCAACAAAATGGCGTTGCCGAGAGGATGAACCGCACAATTGTGGAAAGAATAAGATGTTTGCTTTCACAAGCTAAATTGCCAAGATCCTTTTGGGGTGAGACATTGAAGACAGCGGTTGACGTGATCAATTTGTCTTCTTCCTATTCATTGAATGGTGATGTTCCAGAAAGAGTTTGGACCGGCAAAGATGTGTCTTATGAGCACTTGAGAGTATTTGGCTGCCGAGCTTTTGTTCACACTCCAAAGGATGAGAGGTCCAAGCTTGATAGTAAGTCAAGACAATGTATTTTTCTTGGCTATGGACATGATGAATTTGGGTATAGATTGTGGGATCCGGTTGACAAGAAAATCATTCGAAGCCGTGATGTTGTGTTTCTTGAAGACCAAACAATTGAAGACTTTGGCAAAGGTGATCAACCGGAGCCAAAAACTAGTGATCTCATTGACATGGATCCATCTCCTTCATCTTCAGTTGATGATAAAAATGGGGGAGATGTGCAGCCACCTATTGAAGAAGTGGAGGATGATGCTAATCCTAATGAAGTTGAGTCAGAAATTGAGGAAGAGCATCCAACTCAAGAACCGCCACTACAACTTGAGTTAAGAAAATCTACAAGGGACCGACAACCTTCGAGAAAGTATCCTCCCAATGAGCTTGTGTTGATTTCTGATCAAGGGGAGCCCGAGAGCTACCAAGAAGCAATTGAGCATGCAAAGAAAGGTGATTGGAAAAAGGCCATGGACAAAGAGATGAATTCCTTGCTTGAAAATCACACCTATGATTTAGTGAAGTTGCCTAAGGGGAGGGAAATTTTGAAAAATAAGTAGGTCTTCAAATTGAAGAATGATGGTAAGAATCTGAGGTACAAGGCAGGTCTTGTTGTGAAAGGCTTTGGGCAAAAGAAAGGTATTGACTTTGACGACATTTTCTCACCGGTTGTAAAGATGTCTTCTATTCGGGTTGTACTTGGCATGACTGCAAGTATGAATCTTGAAGTTGAGCAACTTGATGTGGACCGCATTTCTTCATGGTGACCTTGAAGAAGAAATTTACATGGAGCAACCGGAAGGTTTTGTGGAGAAAGGAAAAGAGAAATTTGTTTGCAAATTGAAGAAAAGTTTGTATGGTCTCAAGCAAGCCCCGCGGCAATGGTACAAAAAATTTGACTCTTTCATGATGAATAATGGTTTTTCTAAAACCACTTCGGACCATTGTGTATTTGTGAAAAATTTTCCGGATGGTAAATTTATTATTCTTTTGCTTTATGTTGATGACATATTAATTGTGGGTCAAGATTCTATCATGATTAACAAGTTGAAGTTAGAGTTGAGTAAATCTTTTGCTATGAAAGATTTGGGACTGGAAAAACAAATTCTTGGTATAAAAATTGTTCGTGATCACAAAGAGGGGCTGATTTGGTTATCTCAAGAAAGCTATATTGAGAAAGTTCTTGAAAGGTTCAACATAAACAAAGCAAAACCAGTTGGTTGTCCACTTGCGGGTCACTTCAAGCTTAGTTCGAATCAATATCCTACAAGTGAAAAAGACAAAGAAGAGATGTTGAAAGTTCCTTATGCTTCAGCAGTTGGTTCTTTGATGTACGCCATGGTTTGTACAAGGCCGGATATTGCTCGCGCTGTTGGTGTGGTGAGTCGTTTTCTCTCTAATCCGGGTAAAGAATATTGGGCAGCGGTAAAATGGATTCTAAGGTATCTTCGAGGGATTTCGAAGGTGTGTTTGTGTTTTGGGGATGGTAAGCCGATGCTTGATGGGTTCACGAATTCTGACATAGCCGGTGATATTGATTCTAGGAAATCTACTTCGGGGTATTTGATGACTTTTGCAGGGGGAGCTATGGCATGGCAATCTAAATTACAAAAATGTGTTGCTCTTTCAATTACCGAAGCTGAGTTTATTGCCATTACAGAAGCTTGCAAATAAGAGTTATGGTTGAAGAAATTTTTGCAAGAGTTGGGTTTAAAGCAAGAAAAGTATGTGCTTTATTGTGATAGTCAAAGTGCTATTGACTTGAGTAAAAATTCTACTTTTCATTCAAGATCGAAACACATTGATGTGAGATACCACTGGATTCGTATTGTGTTAGATTCGAAATTGTTGCAACTCGAAAAGGTTCATACATATGATAATATTTCAGATATGTTGACTAAGACTTTGTCGAGGGACAAACATTTGAAGTGTCGAACTTTGGCAGGTATGGTTGATATCTCCACCTAAGTCAGTAGGGGGAGAATTGTTGGGTATACCTCCTTATTGGAGTGTGGGACCCAATTGGTTTGTTAAAGAATTTTAATTTGACTTGGTTTAGGTATAATATATTTTTTATATATTACATTTGTGGATACCCAATTCAATTTGAAAACAACTAAGCTTTGATAATAAACCCTAGATTCACAATATTGTTTTTCTCAAGAAAAAGTGGGCGGCTGCTACAACTTTGAGAAAACCAATTCGGTGGAAAAAAAGTTGATGGTGTGTGCTCCGTTTGTTTGTGGTGTATTTCGGCAGCTTTAGTGAAGTTGATTTGGGTTAATTATTTTGGGTCTTCTACAATTCTGGTTTCGAAGATTTTGGTTCTTCTATTTGGTGAGGTCTTTCCTCTTTGTTTATTTATGATTATTTGAAATTCACCTAAGGGTGGTTTGTGAGACTATTCGTGTCTCATTTGTAATTATTTGAAAACTTCTTTGGTTGATAGTGGAATCGGATTTCGATCCCGTAGACGTACCTCATATTGAGGGAACCACGTAAAAATTCTTATATTACTTTTAATTTAATTTTTCTACATTAATTTTTATTCCCATTAATTAATTTACTTATAGGAAATCATAGATTTTCCCTAACATGTTTTCCCTTCTACCCATCTTTCTACAGTATGTTCTTGGAGGCTATAAATTTGTTTTTTACAGATAACAAGTACACATATTTATCAAGGTCAAAATTTTAACAAATCAATCTCAAAATGCGTCTAACTTTTACTTATTTACCTAACAAATTAATCTCAAAAGAGTTTTTAACCAACAAACTTAAATCAAATTGAAATAATTTTGTTCCTTCTTCCAGTAAAACAAAGAAAAAAAGAGAAAAAGAAAAGGGCAAATTATACTAACAGTCCCTATAGTTTGAAATTTGTGTCATTTTGATTCTTGACTTTTCAATTGTAACATCTTTGATCTTGAATTTTAAATCTTATTCTAAATAAGGACAATTGAAAATATTATTGCTCAATTTCAATGACAAAAGTAATCAATTTGATAAAATATAAATAAATTTGACAAAAATAAATGTCAAAAAAATATTTTTGTCTAACCACCAAAGATAAAATGTAAAATTGATATATCTTTTACACATTTTTTTTTACCAAATTAATTTTTATTATGTGTTTGGATGATAATCATGTAATAGGTGATTGTTTTTATTTTCATTAAATTAGTTTCTATTTTTTCAAAAGTCAAATATGACTGTCACTTTGATATCAATATTAAACCAATTCATTAAATCAAAAAATACAAAACTAAAAATATCTCATGTATTAAATATATCGATTACACATTAAAAACTTAACAACCATCCATTATATGATCATCATCCAAATACATAATAAAAAATAATTTAGTAGAACAAATAAATAAATAAATGTGTAAAAAATTTATCAATTTTACATAATTTTAATTTGGGTCAATAAAAATAATTTTAAAAATTTTAAAAATATTTTTTTGACATTTATTTTTATCAAATTATTTTATATTTTATCAAATTAACGACTTTATACTTAAAATTAAATAATAATATTTTCAATTATCTTTATTTAGAATAATATTCAAAATTTAAGATTAAATATGTCATAATTAAAAATTCAAAAATTAAAATGATATGAGTTTCAAATTATAGTGACGGTTAGTGTAATTTCCCCCATAAAAAAAAAAAAAAAAAAAAATAAGTGTTAAAAAATAAAAAAAAAAAACTGTTAAGTCAACTCCATTATATATTCAAATGGCAGATCAAGAATAAATAAACAATCTTATTACAAAAAAACGGTAAATAAAATAAAATTACAAGTAAAACCACCCTGGTAAATACCCAACCCCTGTTTTCGCGCAACAACAACTAGTTAAGTCAACTCCTGCCCCGTAACCCTCAAAATCAAATCTACCCAACAATTCCCAGCTCCTCCATATAGCTGTATCCACCCTTTTTTTTTTTCTTTTTTCCCCAAGTAAACAATTGATTTTAAAAAAAATAATAATAATATCATATAACACCATTACACGAAACAGCTCTGTTCTTTCCCTCATCCCCAATGATGTATGGCCAAATTATCAACTCTTATTTCTTTGTCGGTTCTTTGTTTTGATCTGGCTTTCTTGATCTGCAGTCTGTCTTAATAAATTATACAATTTTTTCAACTTACTGGTAAGTGCAATTCTTCAAAGGAATTGCCACATTCATCTTTTTAGGGTCCAACACTACAGAGCACTGAACACCTTTGTTGAACTTGGGCTTGACCAATTTGCCTAGAACATAAGCTCTTGATCGAACAATGAAGTTCAGTGTCAATGGCACCGGCATGGTCGGTGTCCCATCTTTGCTACTCAAATCTGCACCCCCTCCATACATTGGTACACGACTGCCCACTAGTATCACCGTTATCATTCTCTGGCTCTTTCTTGATTGGTAGAACTTGTTGATCTGCACAAAACCCATGTTGAAAATACTTAGAAAAGATTAATCATACTAAGCAAAATTAAGAAAATTTAGGGACTGATTGGTGTGAACTTGACTTACATTTCCAGTGGCTAAGGTGAGCTGAGAATAGGAGAGATCTACGGGTGTTGATTTTACATGGACACCGAAAAAGGTACCGGTGTTGCGAAAGATGAACTTGACCGTGGAGTTTGTTGTTGCCATTTCTGTGGCTACTCCAGAGAAATCATTCCCAGCTTGGATCACAAAATTGTTAAATGAAATACTCTGCAAATTATACAAAAACACCCATTTTTCAGAAAATTTTATTTATATGGTTATAAATGCCGACATATATGCATCTGAATCTTGCTCCAATGTCTAGTCCAAATCAATCTGTTGTGTCTTAAAAATTCTGAGAGAGAGAGAGATTTGGGAATAGGGATTTATTAATCACGAATCTATAAATAGGATGAAGAAAATGAAATGGGTAAAAGTGTAGCGAGAGAGAATGAATTGATGACTGACCTTCATTGTGATGATGGGTTTCTGATTACGACTAGCACCCCACAAGACCAGAGAAAAGAAAGAGAAGAGAACGAAGAACCCAACAACAAAAGCGAGGAAATAGCAGCGACGAGGAATACCCCTATTGGCACCATCATCATCGAGAAGACCCTCCTCTTCAATCGCATCAAACCCTTTATTCCACTGCTTATTGGCCCCCCCCTTGCGGTGGTGGCGGGCGGCGGAGCCAGCGTCGTTGACTTTGCGAGAGGAGGCGGGGGCGCCGGGCTTGAGGGAGCCGGAGAAGCGGGTGGAGGAGGAGTCGCGGGAGTGGCGGCCAGGGGAGCCCATGGGGCTGATGATGGGGGTGGAGTGGAAGGAGTTGGTGGTCTTCTCGCCGTCGTGAGAGGAGTCTCGAGACGGGCTCTGGACGTAGTAGACAGGACGGCGAGGGGACCTGGTGGGGGAGGACGGCGCGAGGCTGGTCACCTCCGAGTCTGTCTTGGCGTGCATCGACATTGTTGTGTTGTGTGTGTCGATTGATTGGTCTGAATCTTGAGAAAGCTCAGAGAGAAGATGAAGAGAAAAGAAGCGAGATCTGTTTGGGAAGTCTAGATCCTAGGTCTAGTAGCGAGCACAAGGTAATGCATTGCTCTTTTTCTTTAATTTTTTTGTTTTTGTAAATGTGAATGTGAGAACTGAGGAGTTAGGACAGTAAATCCGGGGAATAGGGAAAGCTATCAGAAACAAATGCTGGCTAATTATTATTAATTAATTTTTTAGGGATTATTTGGGGTGTTTTAAATAATTATATTTTTTTGTCTTTTTAGATTAAAAAGTTAAAAAAAAATATATAAATGTTTGAATTATTTTTTTAATTTTTTATGAAAAAATATGTATTAAAAAATTATATAAATAAATGTGTAAGAAAATTTTGTTTATATTTTATTTAATTTCATTATTTAAATATTAATAGATGTTTTATTTAATTTCACTGTTTAATTATTATTATTTTTTAAAACAAATTTATTTAAAATTTTAATTAAAAAAATAACATATATTTTTATTGATATTTTATTTTTATTTTTTTTAAAAAACAAAATTATTTAATTGTGTAAAAAATAAAATAAAATAATTTTTTATTTAATCTAGCTAAAAATAATTAAAATATTAAAGATCTGTTTAATATTACTATTACTTAGTAAATAATTGAAAAATGATAAAATAGTCTTTTATTCATTTATTCTATCCAGTCCGTCCAACCAAACATTGGATTCACTAAAAATAGTTTTTTCCAAACATCTAAACCCATAAAAAAACAAACACATGATACATATCCGATCCAACCAAAGAGTCTGGGGAATTCACAGTTCCAGAACTCAACTCCGATGGATTCTAATATCCCCTCATCCAGTCCGTCCAATCAAACACACCCTTAATGAATTCAAAAATGCTAGAGGTCCCAAAAATTCAACCAAAAGTTTTACCAAATGTCTCACATGCGTGTGAGACCCGCATTAATATTTGGGGTCTCTAGCATTACTCTAATGAATTATCAAATATTCTACCAAACTTGTAAGAACCACACACATGTGATTTGGGTGGATCCCACCTCATATGACAGATTTGGTAATTCATTTAGGGTCTCTAACATAACTCAAAATTTTAAATAATTTATCAATTTTTTTATTAAAACTTTCACATAAATATGAAATCTATACAAATCTACATGTACATATATCTCACGCCTTATATGAAAACTTTAATAAAAAATTTAATAAATTATTTTAGATTTCTAGCGTAACTCTATATTTATTCACATTCACATGGTAATGGGTTAATCTTAGTTGATCAATTCTTTAAATAAATTAACGGAGAATCAACATTACTAACGCAAATAAAGCTATACATATTATTAAGAGTTTTTATAATTTATAAAATGGGTGGAGTTTATAATTTTAAAATTATAATATTATAAAATGTGTTGGTACACTAATTGATATAATAATTAGTGTAGCACAATTGTCACTAATACTTCGTTTGGATGGAGAGGTTTGCTGAGAATAAGAAATTCTTTCACTTATTTAGATGGTTAAGTATGTGAGAAAGGGTAAGAAACAAGTCTAATTAAAATTGTATTTTATTTCTTACCAAAAGTGGTGAGATTTGATAATAAAATAAAAGACGAATTATACTAAATGTCCCTATAACTTGGGAATTGTGTCACTTTAATCTCTAACTTTTTAATTGTGACATATTTAACAATGAATTTTAAATATTGTTTCAAATAAGGACAATTAAATATACCATTGCTCAATTTTAAGGGTAAAGTCGTCAATTTAATAAAATATAAATTAATTTGACAAAAATAAAAGTCAAAAAATATTTTTAAATTTTTAAAAATTATTTTTACTCACTAATGATAAAATTATGTAAAATTAATAAATCTTTTACATATTATTTTTTTTACCAAATTAATTTTTATTATGTGTTTGGATGATAATCGTGTAATAGATGAGTGAGAGCACTAATTAGTGCTATCACTAATGATGTGGCAGTGGCCCCTACCAGGAATGATTTGATATTTTGGCCTTGGTGTTGTAATTTTTTTTTTTTATTGAGTACCATGTCATTAGTAGTCTTTTTAGAGCTCCAAAATTAGTGGTCTCTATCATTGTTGGTTGTTTTTATTTTCATTAAATTAGTTTTTATATTTTCAAAAGTCAAATATGGCGACAACTTTGATATCATTATTAAACCAATTCATTAAATCAAAAAATTCAAAACTAAAAACATTCTTTATATTAAATATATCTATTACACATTAAAAGCGTAGCAACCACCCATTACATGATCATCATTCAAACACATAATAAAAATTAATTTGGTAAAAAAATAAATAAATGTGTAAAAGATTTATCAATTTTACATAATTTTATCTTTGGTAGGTAGAAATAATTTTTAAAAATTCAAAAATATTTTTTTGACATTTATTTTTGTCAAATTAGTTAATATTTTATCAAATCGACGACTTTGCCTTTGAAATTGAGTAATGATATTTTCAATTATTCTTATTTTGAACAATATTCAAAATTTAGGGTCGAATGTGTTACAATTAAAAAATTATGAATCAAAGTGACACGAGTCCAAAACTATAGAAATTGTTAGTTTAATTTGTCATAAAATAAATGAGTTTAATGGAACAATTTAAAATACCAAAATTACCTTAGGCTAGGGTGAAAGAAGTTAGAAAAATAACTTATTAATACAAAAAGTTATTTTGGTAAAATGAAACAATATTTTATTTTTATCTTATTTACTCTATCTAAACAAGATAAGTGAAAAATTACATTATCTTCTCTTTTATTCATCCAAATACAATGATGAGAAACCATAACCATTTCATTTATTTTTCCACATAATAAATTTTTTGTTTTCCTCAACTCACAATCCAAACGGAGTGCAAGTGTTAATTTAAGGATAATGTTTTAAGTATTTTTTTGTAAACTTAAATACTTATTATATAAAGACAATTGCTAACAAGTGTTAATATTGGAAATATGAAAGAAAAAAAATGTGTTAATAAAGTGTTGTGAAATTTATAAAAATTGTATTAAATTTAATAATAAATGCCTTGTTATTGACATATCTTTTGTCATTTTCTTATACCCAAATTGCACTTGTTAGTAATACTTTTATATAAAATCAACATTCAAATCTTATGAGAGTTTCAATTTTCACACGTCATTTTCTCTTTGTGCACACATGAATAAAAAAATTATTACAATTTTATTACTAAAAAAAATTACTAATATGGATAGGATTACACGACCCATATTGAACTTGGGTTTTCCCAGTACACAACCCACTTTTATCTATTGCTATTGTTCATAAGTTTTTTGAGAAAGCATATATGATAGAAAGTCAACTCCTTTTTTGCTTTTTTGATTAATCTTTTTATCAAGTTTTGTATATATATATATATGAATTTGTATATTATATGCCTTGGCATGGATTTGGGGCTTATTGAGCCAATGATAATTGGGGTCTGGAAAAATGATTTGTTCAATCAAAAATTGAAACAATCACAAATTGATAGGTTTGATAGTTAGATGTGCGTACGTTGGAGTCTTGAACGCCTTCAATGGACAATAAGGTTGAAGGATTAAACATATTAAATAAAACTCCTTTTGGCGTTGAGTACAATTTGGTATATGTACTATATTATCTTGGGTAAAATATAATTGGAATAATTGTGTGTGGATTGAAAGAAATAAAATATTTCAAATTTATTAAGAGTTTGCCTTGGGAGATAATATACATAGAGAACAAATGATGCGTAAAAATAGAATTATCCAATTATTATTATTATTATTTTTTCAAAGGATCTGGCTTTGGTCCAGTCTATCATCGGACTGGACCGTGCTGTTGGGCTTGTGGGGTCCACCACGGGTCCCGTTTTAAAAATCTGAACCGTCAATGTGTATAACTCTTCGAGTACTATATGCCTATGAAAAATCACGTTGATCGGATATCAATAACTATGTGATCAAATCAGTTTTGTATAAAAAAATAGACAGTGAATAAATTAACGGTTGGCAAAAAATTGATTTGATCACATAGCTATCGATATCCGATCAACGTGATTTTTTATAAACATATAGTACTCGAAGAGTTCTACACATTGAACGGTTCAGATTTTTAAAACGATAGACTGGACCAAAGCCAGACCCTTTTTCAAAATACCCTCAAAAGCAATTACCTTCTATAATTGCAACTATTCTTCTAAAATAACACACCGATAAATACATGAATCATGTAACTGCATATTTATATAGAATAATGGTTGGGACCCCCTTTTGGGGGTCACCCCCTCACCCCGCCCCCTTGCCACGTGGCGGGTGGTGATTGGAGGAGTAGGAAAAAAAAGAAAAAGAAAAAGAAAATGTAACCAATGAGAGAGAGAGGGGGTCAAAGGGGTTGGGGGAAAAAGGGGATGAATCATTGTTGATTTATATAAGTGTGCACACTTTTTAATATATATATATTCATATATGAGACATTTTTTTATTGAAATGAAAATAGTTTAACATCCACGCATACTTTGCTTTAACTTTTATTAGAAAATCCCAAATGATCAACTTAAATTCCATTTGTTATTTATTGATTAATTATTTTATTTTGATGTTGAGGTATTATGTTGGCTATTGTCAATCAAAAGGCCTAATAACATAAAAATAAATAAAAAAGTCACTTTTTTTAAATAAAAGATAAAACATGTTTAATAATTATTTAGGGAAATGCTATTTGTGCTTCCCTTTAAAACCCAAATGGTCCACTAATTCCTATTTGTTATTTATTGCTTTCATTCTCTATTTCCCTTCTCTTTTGGGTCAAAAGAAAAAATTTACATGGAATCAACAGTTGTCAACTGAAGGCAACAAGTGAGTTGGCGACAGTTGTGTTGGCAAATCAGGAGAACACAACAAGATGATTAGCGCCCCTTATATAGCTTGTTGCAATCCAGCTGCATTCTTTTCGTTTGGTTTGGGTGTGCGGGGTCAAAATTTGTTTCCAAAACAAATAGAAACTCCTCTTTCTTTTCCCTTGTTTTTTGCTATATAGTGATAATTTGAGTTACATATAAAAACACTTCTTTCTTTTCCCTTGTTGTTTGTTATTAAGGCCTCGTTTGGCATGTGTCTATTTTAATTTAAAAGTTAAAAAATTATTAAAAAATCAAAATATATATAATTTATATCAAAAAATCAAAAATTCACTTTTTTCTCTACTTTTTGCATATTTTTTAATAAAAAATTAAAAAGTCATTTCAAACATATTTTTTTTATCTCTTATATTTTAGCAAAAAAGTCAAAAAATTACTAAAATAATCTGTTTTTAAACGAGGCTTAAGAAGTATATAGTGATGATTTAAGTTAAGGAAAATTCGCTTTAAAATGGTGTACATTATAAAAAACTTATAATTTTTTTTATAATAAAAGTTACGATTTTTGTGATGTGTGTTATGGAACTTTTTTGTAAAGTTATAAATAGTAAATTTATAATATGTATCTTAAAATTATGGATGATAATAATATGACACTTTGTGTGATTTTTTTATTATACTTTGTGATTTTTTTTATGACATTTTATAATGAAAAAAAATTATGATTTTTGTAGTGAAAAAGTTATGACATTTTGTGTTAAAATTATGAAAAATATACCATATGCACATTTTTTAAGGAGCACATTGTAGCATCTCCCTTTTAAGTTAAGATTTTTTATGACGAAAATTATGAACGTTTATAGCATGTGTTATGACAATTTGTGTCAAAATTACAAATAATTAATTTGTAGTTTGTATGTTAAAGTTATGAATAATGAAATTGTGACACTTTATAATTTTTGTTATAACATTTTTAGTGAGAAAAGTAAAAATTTTTGTGGTGAAAAGTTGTGAATTTTTAAACTCGATGAAGGTTAGTGTAATTTACCTTAAAAATATATGATAATTAACCAATTAATAACAAATAGAAATAAGTTGACCATTTGGGATTAAAAAAAATTAAAAATAATACTTGCATTTCTTTGTGTTTTATACCTTTCCCAAAGTCCTAATTAAATGTCCTGACTGTTTTCACACAAATTGTCATAAAAATAATATATTACATTGTGGAGCTGCTGGACAGTCTATGCTTCTGTAATATTACAATATATTACACTTTTTATAATATAAAAGAAAAAATTCAATTCCCAAAATTTTAGTAATTGTTGCCACTTCTTTCACAATAAAAACAAGAATAAAGGTTGAAACCCTCTTTGAGGGTCACCCCGTTGACCCCTTTTAGTTTTGATTGGTCAACTATTTATTTATTTATTTTTCTTCTCACCCAATCCCCAACCTCCATGTATGTGAGGGGGTTGTGGGGTGGGTGTCTTAAGGGGGTCTAAATCAATGCCCTAAAAATCAGGGTGCAAAGTGTAACATTTACAAAATTTTAAAATATATTTTAATTTTACAATTTTTACAGTAGGTATAAAATACAACTTTTAAACTGACGGGTCAAATGCAACAGAGCAGCCATGGCTTGGCTCGGATGGCATGGCAATTCATACCAATGGGTTCACTGTTTGGATGAGGGAAACTCCTTTTATCTATCTTTGGTTATTTCTGAATCTTTATAATCTGTTTTCTGGCTTTGTCCATTCTAAAAAACAAAAACTGACGGGGTCAAATAAATAATAAAAGTCAAATTAGCTGTAAAGATGAAGCAGTGTGCGTTGATGCTTTGATGGTCGGGAAAGATTATGTACATACCGTTTAAATAATGTGTATTAGTATTATTTATATTTTTTAAGTCATAATCTAAAAAAAAATTATAATTAAACACAAATGAGACATAACTAAATATTTCAAAATAATGTCATAATTAATTTTTTTTTATTATAACTAAAAAAAATAATATAACTAAAAATGTGTATGATAAAAAATATGTATAACAGAATTCTCCATAATAGTCAGTCAATGAAGATCTAAAGTGGTAAGTGTACGTGTACCCTCTAACCAAAACAAAATAAAATAAAAAAAATTCACAAACTATTTAAACGTTTTTTGGGAAGAGGTTATTTAATTTGCAGATAATAAAAATATGTATAAAAAAGTTTTAAAAAATGATATGATGATATATTTTTTTTATTCACCATTTTCTACCTTACTTATTAAAACTTTGTAGTATGTTTATGTTAAAAAAAATTATTTTATTAAAAACTAACTCTTTTTTGTGTTAAAGTTTATTTATTCTCTACACAAATTTCAAACACTGGCAGTGCGCATATGAGAATTCATTCGAAGTAAAATAATAAAGTACTGGCGTGGTCCCAAAAATTAAAGGGTTTCATTTGGTTGCTACTGCATAATAAGGTGCTCACTAATCATCAAAGAAAGATTCGAGGCTTCACCAAAGATGATACTTGCCCAAATTGTCAAAGCCATTGTGAGGATTTGAACCATATGTCGAGAGAGTGCAAAAAGGCTACTGAAGTCTGGGACTTTTTCCCCTGTCACAGTTGGAGAAATTCTTTCCATAATATGGCCTTAGTTACATGGATCCAACATAACCTTAAGGCCATGTTTGTTTGGACGGACTGGATTAGCATTCCCATGACTAATAGTCCTAGGACTACCAATCCGTTGGATTATGTATCCTAACTTAACTAATAATCAAGTTTAAAATAATAAATCCGTACTTCAATTGTTTAACCAAACATCGGATTAATAATTTTATTGGACTATTAGTCCAATCCCAAGCTCATGTCCACCCAAACAAACATGGCCTAAGAGCAACAATAAAGAATGCTTCAACATTCCTTGGGGAACTGTCTTTGTGGAGATTATGGAAGGCTTGAAACAACATGGTGTTCAATCAAGAAGAATACACACCTCATGAAACTGTGAGACAGATTCAAAACGAAGCAGAAGCAATCCACCGGGTTTTCCACACTGACCTTTTCACAGGTAACTCATTACACATTCACACTGATTGGTGTCCTCCTTGTGCAGGTCAACTCAAGCTTAATACGGATGGATGCTCCAAAGGTAATCCTGGCCCTGCTGAGTATGGTGGCTTGCTCAGAGATGCTAGGGAAGTTTAGATTTTTGGCTACCATGGAAAATTGGCGTCAGCATCCGGCGAAGGAGCTGAACTCTGGGGAATTTATCGAGGCCTCACCATTATCTTCGAGAAAAGCTTGCGTGATGTCTTGATTGAATCTGATGCAGCAACTGTGGTGTTCAACATCAACAACCCCACAACCATCAACTATCCTCACCGAGCTCTCTTGGAGGATATCAAATTCCTCATGCACAGATGCAACTGTATAGTTAGCCACATACCTCGTGAAGGCAATCAATTTGCAAATGGTCTTGCAAATATGGGAGTGCATCATGGAGAAAACCTCATAGTGCTAGAAGACCCACCCAATGATCTTGTTAGTCTGCTTGTTGCAGACATTGTTGGTCTTTCTTGTGAGAGGGCTTAGGCTAGTTTAGCCCTATTTTGGTTTGTTGTTTGTTGTGTTTTCCTTCTTCTGTAACATTTCCTTTGAATAAAAAAAAATAGGGGTCGGCATGGTGTTCGTGCTGGTATCGTATCATATTATTTTGGATTTGCGTTAAAATTATTTCAATATTAACGTAATTTATTAATTATTTCGTATTATTATGTCGTGTCATCTTCAATAAATGTTGGATTTATATCGTGTTATGTCAAAAAAATTTATTACTAACTAAAAAATATTAAATGTATGAAAAATTTGAAACTTTCTTCACAAGTTAAATTTAATAAAATTAATTTCTATTAAATGAAAATATTTGTAAACTAATTTGATTTCAACTTAATTTTATTTTCTTAATTTATAAAAATGATATTTCATTATTATATTTTTTAACTAGATTAACTCAAATAATAAACAGAAAAATACATTAAATTCAATTAAAAGTAAAAACAAAACCTATATTACAGTAAAAATATTATTTTACATATTTTTTAATAAATTAATTGTAATTACGTAAGAGATTGAAAAATGTTACGAGACTCTTTAGTATAAATAATATTAAATATTTAACCAATTCTTTATTATATGGGTTATTCGTATCAATTTCGTGTTATACAAATTTAATAATAATTTGTCTTGTTTAATATTTGTATTATCGGGTCATGTCATATATGTGTTCGTATAAGAAAATGATCAATCCTAACCTACTAGCTTCGTATATAGGGGTATTTTGAAAAGATAATTAAAAACTATTTTCCAACTGTTAACTTATTTTAGATCATATCACACTACAAGAAATGTCACTTTTGGCTACTAAACTATTGGTCGGCAAAAGGCATAAATTTGGTCGCTGAAACGATTTACCGACCAAATATTTCTGTCACCAAGTTCGTTGCCCATACCCTGTCGGTTAGTATTGGCAACTAAACTTCATTTGGTCGCCAAAAAATGAAACATTTCCCTACTAAATTTCTTTTAGTAGACAAATGGTATCTTTTCGCCACTAAAACCGTTAGTCGCCGAATGTGACTTTTGCCTACTATGCTCATGTAGTCGGGGAAGGTGTTCGTTTTTGCTACGAAAATATTGGTCACCGAAAGTGAACATTTAGCTACGAATCCTTCGTTAGTTGGCAAACGTGACCTTTCCGCGACTAAATTTTTAGTCACTAAAAGTTCTACCTTAGTCGGCAAACGTGGCTTTTGCCGACTAAAACTGTTCGTAGCCAAAAACCTACTAAAATTCATTTCTTTACTTTTTGCCACCAAAAGTTTTAGTCACCAAATGATACCCTTTTTTCCGTGACTAAAAAAGTTAGTGGCCAATAGTTTCTCTCTCATTCTCAAATTTTTTTGCTACTAATTATTTGGTGGCAAAAACGTTTTGGGTTATGTTTTTGCTACTAAATTATTAGTAGCCCAAACTTTTGATTACCTATTTGGCTACCAAAACATTTGGTGGCCAAATAATTTTTTGTTTTGTTTTTTTTTTTAAAAAAAAAATTTGTAAACAACCTGTATTCATTTATATTACAACATGTACCCTGTATAAACAATATAATCAATCAACACTAAAATATATTATCAACCATTAAAGCATTCAACAACGTGCACACATTTCAGTTCCAAGCATCCAAAAAAGTAATTTTGAACGTCCAATTCTATATATAATACAAATTCCATATAGTCCAAGTCTAATCCAACGTCAATAATTTAAATCTATACATAATACAGGAATAACCAAATTAATTAACAAAAAGAACATATGTACCACAACAAAAATTTAATCTGTACTGCCCCAAAACTATTTTGTACCACGTGCTATGCTAATTTCTACCATGCCAAATTTCATCGGATATTTATCACACCAAAAAAGTATTTTGTTCGAACCACTATATATACGGATAGAGGTATAAAAACAATGCCCTCCCGTAATTGTCAAAAAATTATATATCCACATTTGTATGTCCAAAACCATCTGCAAAAATAAATAAATATAGCAACTGTATTAATTTCAACTGTATATGTAACAACCCTCGTCACTATTTACTGATTAACCACTGATTACTGTTAAACTGAACTGATTATGACTGATAAGTGAACTAAATAAACTATTGAACTAACCGACTGAAATTGAAACTGAATTGACTGAGTATACCTGTTTAGTTGTAATTCTATCTGTTTGGTTATTTGATTATCTGTTCGTGCTTTTATGTTTAAATTGCAAATTGAAGGCCTTGTCGGCGACCGAATCCGAAATTGATTGATGATTTGTGATCCTTAGAATTAATGTGATTTTATGGTATATTTATTTGAAAACTGATTCGGTATGATTAAATTACGTTAATTATTGAGAAGTTACATAGTTTGACTTAACTACAACTTTGCCATTTGAGTGGGCCATTACACCAAACCTTGTCTAAGGCTTAGTCTTGCTTTACAAACATTTGCTCAGCCATTATTCTTGAGTGTATAGCCAACTAGAGAGGGAGAATAGGGAGGTAGAGTGAATTCATCTTGAATTGCTTGGAATCTTGAAGAAATTGTGAGAGATTTGCCTTCTTGAGCCTCCATACCTCTAATTCAAGACCTAGGTAAGGAATTCCAACCTCTCATTGTTGTATTTAAGCTTGTTCATGCGTGGTTCTTGAGCCTTTAGTGATTTAAGTCAAGTTTTGGTCTCATAATATTGAATTGGAGCCTAGTTCATGCATGCATGCCTTTACTTTGAAGTTTTGAAGTTGTCCTTCCTGAAATTGTACATGCATGCTCATATTTTTACAATAGACCATGCTTTCACCTTGTCTTTGAAAGAATTGGCTCAGTAGAGCATGAAATTGAAGCTTGAAATGGTTTAAATTCATGCATGTTTGCATGTTCTTCATATTCATGGAAATTGGTTTGAATTGGATTTATTTGAAACACTCTTGGGCTTTGATTTTACAAATTGAGTTTTGAATTATGTTAAAGTATGAGTTTTGATGTGTTTTCTGGAAAATTGGCCAAAGAGGATCGAAATTTATGGTTTAAAACTTGGTTTTGAGCTTGAGGTTCAAATCTGGAATTTCCAGAATTTGGACTCACGCTCGAGCGGGGTGACTGGCGCTTGAGCGTGGAAATCGTGCTCCCAGCATTCTGTTCTGTTTTGAATTTCGCTCGAGCGGAATAATTGACGCTCGAGCGGGGCATTGTGTCTCATGCTCGAGCAGGTGTCGAGCGCCCAATCGAGCGTGATTTTTTCCTATCCAGCACTTTTGACTGTTTTGCAGAACGCTCGAGCGTAAACCTTTGTCTGCATGTCCGCTCGAGCGAAGTAACCTACGCTCGAGCGTGACCCCTGTTTTCTGAAAATGCTTTTAAAGTGCATCTTTTCATCCTCATCTCATCCTAGGCATTATTAGGCCTAGTTTAAGGCATCTTAATGAGGATATAGATGTAGAACACACCGAGGCAATTAGGGATTAAGTTATTGTCTTTCCCAACTGTGTAGCTTAGTGTGTGTTCAATCTGTATACTGTGTAGGGTTGGCGACTGGGGACGCGCTCTAACTTTACTGTAGCCCAGAACTCTGTGAGTAACAACTGTGTAAAGATATGTTCAAAATGATTATCTTCTGAACAATTGAAACGTACTGCTTTCTGAACTGATTCTGTTAACTGAATGAATGTATGTCCTATATTTTAAACTGTATTGTGGCATCCTTAGCAACTACTGTTTACTGCTACTGCTACAGAGATCTCTGTCCGTTCCCTTGTTGGAACCACTACTGTTACTGACTGATGGCTATCATTTATTGCTCAGTCTTTTTAAGACCTACTGTTTACTGTACTGTTATGCTAATGGATGTACCATATATGACTGTATCGACTGAACGACTGAAATACTGATTTAATGAACTGTTTTCATTACTGTAAGGACATTCATTCTTAACCTCTTTACGTATTGTGTTATTCACTGGGCTTTAGCTCACTGTTCATATATATATGTAGGTGTGCAGGCACCAGACCGCAACTAGAAGCGTCGGGGAAAACTCCAGTTTTATCAAGCCAACCGTTGTGCCTCACTGCGAGGTTCCGAGCCTGTCAAGCTACGGTTTAGGGGTGTTTTTAAATTCCCCGTCTGTCTCTGTATCTGTCCTGTTCAACTGTATAGACTGTTACTGTACTGTTTGATAGGGATTAGGTCCCTGAACTGAATGATCGTATATATGTACATACTGTTTTGTCTGACTGTATATATTTGAATGAAAAGTCTTTTTGGCATACAGACTGTCACAGCTCATTGGACATTGTTTATTTACTGTATTGGCTTCCGCCAGCCCCTGTACTCTGCATTACTGTATTACTGTTAAGCAGGCCTTCGGTAATCTCGGCTTACTGGCCGATTACGGTGCTAAACCCATAGGGGCGGGTTTGGGTCATGACAGTATAGCAACTGTATTAATTCCAAGCATTAAAAGCCAAGGAGAGTACTAGCTATTAATTAATGAAAGACACCCAAACATGGACTGGTAGACGAGTATCGATTCTATGAATTAATGTCAAAAGTTGTGTTTATGGCAATGCTCAGGGCCACAGTCAACAAAAGCACAAAACAATTTACCAAAACTATTATGCCACGTTTAACTAATAAGGAAAGAGTTAATCAAACTATAGTATTACCAAAATAGTTACCCACAACATGGGCATTTCATGTTCTACCACATAAACACATTGTCGACCCCCAAACGTTTTTTTCGACTATTATTATGACATTTTCAACTCTAACTCCCAACGTAGGTGTCCTATTTACGTACCGTCTGTCCCTACATGTCACATTTGTCACCGGGAAGCTTCCCGTTACGTAATTTTCGCCCCCCGAACCCCTTTTTTCGACTAAGTTTATGACATTTTCAACTCTAACTCCCAACGTAGGTGTCCTATTTACGTACCGTCCGTCCCTACATGTCACATTTGTCTCTGGGAAGCTTCCTGTTACGTAAAAACA